ATTACGTAGGCGAAATACTGGCAACCAATAACGTAATCGACATGGTCGTCAATAGCGAGGAGAACTGGGCTAGATTCCAAGGGCTTTGCCGAAAGATAATGATAGCTCAATCAGATAGACAAGATAAGGAGAGGAACATGAAGAGAAAAAGGAGAGGATTAACTAGAAGAAGAACATAATAAGATGAGAGGTACACTTAGTAAGAAGACCAATCCTGAAGTAATGCCGAGAGGGTGGTTCCAGGGTTGATTCTTGTACGATAGAGGAGAGAGACAGAGGGGTTTCTAGTGGGTAGAGGTGCTATCATCTTGCCGAGCCCCGCATAATCCAGGTGCGCGCTAGCGTACCTAGTTATGCGTAACTGCATTCTCTTCTTCTCTCAAAACAAAAAAATGTGCAAAATAGGAATGAGTATGGATATGCATTTTTAAATTACTATCTGTCAATAAATATCCACAATTAGTAAATTTAGGTTTAAGATTATATTATATTTGGGTTAATGTATAAATGCAAATGATCTTTTACTATGAAATGCATAAAATCAAAGTAGATATCAATTGGTACCACCAGATGACTTGTTATCTTGTGTGCTAAGTAAGTATACCACAAAATTTCAGTTGGTATAATCACTTGTTGATGAAATGTCGCGGTCACAATGTTTGGATAAGGTATGTATTTCTGTTCGTTTTAAAATAAGAACAGTAGATTGTAATAGATGTACGATTATAAATTGTAACGTATGCCTATTAAAGATAATTTTTGTTCTTTTGGAAGATTAGGGAAGAATACTATTCTCTGTTTGTATTCAAGTGATGATAACGAGGGAGTGAATGAAGCGTAAAGCATTAGAAAGCGTAGACGAGAATTTATCTTCAGGTAACATTAGTGATGTATGCCTGAAAAAGGCAAACGCGCGTAGAGTTTGTGGTTTCAGTTTAATATTTATACCGATGCAGTTATCTCTTCCTGGCAGACGAATAGTGTTTTTCTAACGCCATATTACGTTTCACCTTCTCTGAATAGAAATTCGTGATACTCGCAAGTTTAATATTTTAAGTTCTGGCATAATCATTCATTGGTTCGGTGTAATTAATACTTGGTTAGGTACATGTCGAAATTTGTTTGATCCGTTAAGAATTAAAGTAGCTAAAGAATGATTTTGACGGGAATTGTGTTCTTCTATACGAAAAAATACCAATAAAGAGATATTTTAGTTTCCACTGAACTGAACAAATTATTGAAAGTTTTGAGGATTTCGAATTTTGCAGGAAAACAAATAGTGCGTAGTTTTTCCTGATAGGCGATTTACTTAGTAATTGGAAATAACCAATAGCGTTTTTTGTTTAAAAAGAATGGAATTGAAACTAATCAATTATCAAATATATTAGGTGCTATTTTAGTACACAGTACTGACTTATAAGTTATTGCTAGAAATGAGAAAAGAGGGTTACATTTTACGACATCGACATTGGAAAAGGTGGAAAATGACTCAATTCGACATGTATATTTTTCTTTCTGTTATGTTTACCGATTTTTCGGGAACGGCTTGATCAATCGGAATGACACTTTTTGCTCCTTGCAAGACAATTTCCCGTTGGTTCAGATATAAAATATTTCTCTATTTCTTTTTTGTAAACTATATTTTTTGCAAAAATCCAATTTTTATATATGCAAATTCATCAGTTATTCTGGATTGGATCGAGCTATCAAGATGAAATCTTTTAAGAGTAGTCCATTGACTGGTCCCGTTTGCAAAATGTCTCCTTTTTGTTCATTGTTAAATATTATTATTGCAAAGAATTCGTTATTTATCAATTTCATTTACGTCTGCTCAGTGATTATTCTGCAACTGTTCGTCTGATAACGAGATGATTCTAAAACAACAGCCTGGGCAAGTAGTTTGAAATCGTGTTTTTCAACTTAGTCTTCAATTCGTTTCCATTGCGCGAAACATTGGCTGGTTGTTATTGTTGCTGTCGTATAAGAGAAATTTCTTGACATATCTGCATACATCGTATTTTGTCCCTAATATTTCAGAGGTGTACAGCTAGAATAAAATTGTCTTTCACTTGCTTATATTAATTTCTACTGTCCATAAATAGCCATGCATTTTGTCGAATATTTGTTGTAGATGGCTTTCGGATTTTAAAGCTTTATTGTCTCTCGCGCATATTAGTAGCTCATTCGCGAATGTTATCGCTTCTTTGTTTTTATCGCTATTTGCGCTACAATTTACATCGCTATAAATTAAATAAAATGGGGGAGTTCACGGCTTCTTGTTATGGGTCGTCTTTGATTTTAGATACTTTGTTTGAACTGTTCTGTCTGTTACGTAAAATTGTTTATTACGTAACATGTTCTAAATTATGACTATTATTTGGTGTCAATTATCTAAGTACTATCCATAGCGCTGCTTGACTTCTGTAAGTGGACGAGAACGAGTGTTATTTATATTTCTATATGTCGGAGATGAAAGGACACCGGAACCATCCCTTTGGAACTTTAGGAAATCCCTTAACACTGTAACTTAGATTCTACAACCGTAATTAAGCAATTGTCGTCATTCAAACCGATTGTATTTGCTCGAGATTTGTGACAATGAGCTTCGGCTCGAGGCAACAACCAGTCGCCGAACGTAGCTAGGGTCAAGGATCAACGTTTTGTCTAATAAAGAGATTCGTCAAGGGATCAACGTTTTGTCTAACAAAGGTATGGAGTAATAGCGTAGCTCTCCTCAAAAAGTGTTGAAGTGGTCATCACTTCTAAGAAAACTCTACATCTGGTCTTTTTAGTTTTCTCAAGCACTGAAGCCATCGAGAGCGTATAGACAAAAGACTGCGACGAAGGCAGACCATAAACAGTAGTCAGGCGACGTTGGCTGTTTTCGCACGTTCACGGGGAGACGCGATCTCGAAGAAGCGCGCCAACGGTAGTCGTAAATTCCCGTTGCGATTTGCTAATCGACGCCGCGAATCGTTCGATCCCTTATTTCTTTTGGGATAATAAGGGTAGTTAAATTGAAGATAACGCTGCTACTAACAGGTTATTATATATTTTCATAATCTAACAACTTCGGTGTAACACAAAATGAATGTAACACAGTATAGTAAGTTATAAATCACCGTTTATTCTAACAACTTGTAAAGAAGATAGTTACGCTGGTGCGTATGTACGAGATGAGTGAGTGACTAATCTACGGTGTATTCCCGGTCAAAGGATGTTGATTGTTCGACGGATGGAAAATCAGTGCTGTTCGGAGACGATGCTGTGGTGGAGGAAAGCTAAGGATGGGTGTGTCTAGCTCACGGGACCATCGGATTTGTTGGTGACGATTTTGGCTAAGGGAGTGAGGGAAATAGGCTTCGTTGATAATTGGTTAAACGAAGGTTGGTGGACTAGGAAGGGTCTTAGCCGCCCTCGATAGAAAGTGGTTAGTGGGAGGAAAGTTGCATCATACGTGAGAAAAACTAACTTTCCCTTGTCAAGCCGTAGTAGACAATGGTCTTTAGAAATGAGTCGGAAAACAGATGTTTGTTCGGTTTGAAGGACCTCGACTAGGAAATTCCTGAGATTTATGGAGGGTACTTGAGAATATTGAGGGTACGCAGTGAGTATCCGAAGACATCTGGTTGCCATCCTGCCCGCGGTGTGTGGCCTGGTCTAGATAGAGTGTTACGCGACGTAACATTTAGAGTGGAATGCCCTTAGCATAATTGCACCCACTTCAGTGATATTTTTCATGCTTACAGAGGAAATTGATAGAGATAGAATAAATTTGTCTAAAATAATAGCCATTAAAAAACAACTAATAATTCCATTATATACATCCATCGAATATATTTACCTTGCGACAACAATTAATATATTGTATAGATTATTACATAAGAGCTGTTGAAGATAATTTTTATGTACTAAATACATTGTTGGATTCGAGGTTTAAAATTCTGACCGCAAAGCATTGATTCAGATGACAATATATCCGCTTTGGTCATTCTCGATACCGAAGTCAAAACTACAAATATAAATGTCTCTAGGTAAGCTGCAACTGCGATTGAAATAAAAAATTATTTAACATCGACATATGTAAGTAAATAGTAAAAGAGATTCCAATATAAAAATATTAACAAATATCCTATTTCATTTTTTATCTGAATGCCCTCAATGTTAATAAAGTTAATTAATTCCTTCTTGGTCAAAATTCTTTCAGCCACCTTTGGGGACAGGAATTTGGTATTCTTGTGAAAGTGGAAGAAGGATATAAGTTCGAAACTTTAGACACTTGGCGATAGTTATTCAGATCCTCGAACAGGATATATCGAAATTCAATCTCTGAGCTGAACTCACAGACTATTATACAGTCCAGTTTAAAAGTCGGGAACCACTAAGTACTAGCAACGCGACAGGCAGATTAAATCTTAATGCCACAAAGGAACTTTGGAATATATATAAATCTAAATCATAGTTATTTCCAAATTTCTAATTAAATTGGAATTGCCAAATCCGTCACATTCCCATTTGGTAATGAGCCCAAAGCATTACACTCACTTCGAGGCAAATTGTTTACTACATCCTCCAAATAGATTAATAAGTGGGCAGTTATATGGTCTAACAAATCTGTAAATACACCTCAGCAATGGTTGCAATTATCGTATATGACTTTGACATACGATAGTATTTCTTTTTTGCTTTTAAGAATACGGATTAATATGGATATAATTGAATGTAAATAATTATAGTTTCTTTTCGCTTGCTCCAATAATTAATCACGTTGTTCTCATGATGGTTGCACATCAACAAATATCGAGAGAAATTTCAGACTTGACAACTGTTTTCTTTCTTGGTGAATACTCCAATAACTTTTTCTATATCTTGTCACTTGCTCAGGACATTCTGTAATCTCTTTCAATATTATCGAAGCATCCATCTAGTCAGGAGATCTTTGCTTTTCTTGGGTAACTAATATTAATTCGCCAATCTTTGTATTTTCAAGGAGGCCTGCTTTTTGTCGTTTAGCACGTTCCTATAAATTAGTGAAAGATTTCGTTATCTATCCAGTTCCAGATTTTCCAACGGGTACTTTTACTTTTCTTAGAACCAACTTTCGTATCTTCGAAGATGGAATCCCACCGGGGGTAGCCATCCACATGCTATATTGCTATATCACTAAGCTATAATATTTTACCACATATCCTACTGGACAAATTGTAAAATGTAAATAAATAAATAATAAAAAAAAACTTTCGTATCTTATTTTGAAAACCTGTTCCTTATAACTTATAAACAACCATCTACGTTCAAATTCATATTTTATGTAAGATATTTTATGTTGAAACGCTCGGCGTATTTGAGTGTAATTAAAATACGCACCATGTCGCGTCCGGCCAGGCTGTCAATTGTTTACTCATTATTTCTCGGGCTGCAGGGGGGTTTTTCGATTTTGACATCACAATTTAACGCTGTAATGAGAAGAGTATAATTTTAGATATTCACGCGGGGCGGGATTTATTTATATCCATATGCGATATTGATATATTTTAACAATTAAATAAATTTCATTGATACTAATATACACGTGCACTTCATGAGAACGATTCTCTACTCGTGTGGAGATTATAAGTTGGGCGTATTGCGGGTAATATAGTATCCATTGCTGAGAGATCTATTTACACTCGCGAAGAATTGTCACTTGCGAAATTCTTAAATATGAAATAATTATTAATATAACGCGCACATGGGTAAAATGGATGCCATTGTATGACTGGTGGCTTAGGGCGCACGCGTTGGCGAGGAGCGATGCGCAGGTGAGGTGGTTCGCTGCGTCGATGTATGGCGTCGCCACCTTACGGGCATCGTTTGAGAGCATGTACGGCCGGCTCGACGAAAGTTCTTATTATGAAGGAATAAAGTCGGGTCGTCCAGAGTTCTAGAATAATTTATTTTATTTATTTTATTTACTCGAGCCGAACTTCTTGGTGAATAAATAAGAAATGGTGTGCTACGTAACGAGGCTTTATACGAGTTGCGTGGTAACGAGTAGGAGGGAGAATGCAGTTGTAACGTGCATTCTGTTAATTGTATATATTTATTAATTTATTATTATTTTGTTTTCACTAGTATTTAGTTATTTATTTATTTATTATTATTTATTTATTATTTTTACCGGTATTATTATGTATGTAGCGATTACGTACGCATCGTTGGGTCTTAAATAGAACGATGGCGCTTAGACTATATATAATTATTTAGTCATTTATTTATTTATGTGTCTATTAGTATTTATTTTTTGATGGCTTTCGTTGACGACTTGGCGAGTTTTATGGTTACGATAGAATACATTTGGACGGTTTTTCTGATTTTGGACGATGACGACTTTGGCGATGTACACGGACTTATCTTAGATCAGTTAATTTATGGATATGTCGAATAAAGGTAATAAAATTGCGGTGCAGGGAGTTTCGGAACCCCCAGGCCCCGTCGGGAAAACGAGTGGCTG